GAGGGGAGGGGAGGGGAGAGGAGAGAGAGGAAAGAGAGAGGGGAGAGAGGGAGACACGAGACTCTGAGAAGGGAGGGGAGAGGGGAAGTAGGTTGGGAAGGCCTCAGAACAGGAAAGAGGCAGAGAGGATGAGGGGAGAGGGGAAAACGGCGTACAGAGGGGGAAGAGGAGCCAGAGAGGAAAGTCTGAAAGTTTAACCGAAACAAGTCAGCCAAGGGAAGAGGCGAAGGAGCCTGAATCTTCGAGGAGAGAGGAGGAGGGCAACGATAGTCGTCTGAGTGATGCGATCATAGTCAGCAAAGGATCCATCTTTACTGGCTTGTGTGAGGCAAGCACGTCGTAACCAGCACGTTCCTTCCTTGCAGATGAGCGAGGCTCGTAAGTGGCATCCAGGCCCCGGAAGATACTCCGAGGGCCCACGAGCCATGCTGTCAGAAACCGAGTCTCCCAAGATACGCGCTTCCTACGATGCTCCCACCCTCATCCCCGCAAGGTCGCCGGAAGGATTGCAGTACGTGCTGTGATGGAGGGAGGAGAGCGTTGCTGACTAGCAAGGCAGCCGTCCAGTCGTCCGTCCTCCAAGCAGGGAACTGAAAGATTCTTCCTTCAACTTTCCCTTGGCCGACAGGTGCTCTGCGATATCTGCTCAATCGAGCCTGATGCTGGTATCCAAGAGCGGCCAAGGATAAGATCAACCCCTTCCGCATCAGCGCTGATCGAGTCGCTCTCGCTACTCCAGACCTGATCCGCAAGACAGCGGTTGCAGCCAATGAGTTCAAACGTCTGCAGGTGAGGGGGAGGAAGGGGAGAGGAGGGGCACCCGGATGGAGTTTGGATGGACGGTGTTGAGCGACTGGATGCAGGATGTGGAGTCACAGTACAAGACAGCGGAAGGGTTCTGGAAGGGTGAGATTGACCATCTGAAGAACCAGATGTTCGACGTGAGCAGCAAACGAGACTTGTTGATCGTGAGCATGACATGTGTCAGATCCGGAACAAGCATCTTGACGAGGAGAGCAAGCTGCAGAGGGAGAAGGCCATGCTAGAGGTTGCTTCCTTCCTCACGAGTCTCAGCTGGTGATGCTGGTGTGTCGCACTGCAGGCGAAGGTCGGAGAGATGGATAAGGAGATGATGCAGCTCCGCAAGTTGTTGTCGGGTGAGCAGACGAGTCACGACATGCACAGGCATCCCGCTTGTAAGCGAGCAACACGAAGAGCTGAGGTTTCCTCAGGAGAGAGTGGGAGGAGGAGCGAGCCAAGTTGATGAAGACCAACGAAGCCTTGCGTGAGCGATGCGACAAGTAAGAATTAACGTGCTGTCCGTCTGTGCGTGACGATGGAAACGAAGGGGATCTGAGCAGCTTCAGTCGCACGACGCAAGGATACATGAGGTGAGGCAGACAGAGAGATGGTAGCAAGTTCAAGGTCAAGCTGGCACCTTCAGATGAGTATGGAAGTTCAAAGTTTGCGACAGGAAAGGAGAGATCTTGAGACGAAGGTCAGAACAAACTTCTTCGTTGTCTCTCCCTCCCCTCATCATATCTCTCTCTCGCAGATCCACACCGTTGAGTTGAGGGCGCGAAAGGCCGAGGACTCAGTCGCGGCTCTCAAAGAGCAGCTCTCCTTTGCCAACAACAGGTCCTACTGTCTTCCAGCTCGGCAGACTTGACACCTCCGCCTTCCCCAGAGCCATCGAAGACTCGCAGGCGGCGGAGAGCGCTGCTGCTGAGAGACTCGCTGTAGAAGTGAACAAGGTGAGGAGGAGAGGCAGAGATGAGGCCAGAGATGACTGGCGCAAACTTACAGGTGGAGAAACTCTCGGATGAGCTGTTGTCTGCTCGGAAGAGGTTTGACAAGATGAATGATTGATTGCGTGATGGATGTTGCTCTTAATGATGATGATGGAGATGGTGGTGATGGTAGCGATGATGATGATGATGATGATGATTCGGAGATGAATATGATGACGAAGACGACCCTGACGTTGACTATGTTGTGTCTGCAGTTACACGTCGATCTTGGAGAGTTTGAGTGAAAAGGATGATCACATCCGAAGCTTGGTAAAGAACTATCTTATTCCTCCTTTCTTTTGTCCTGTCCTGTCCTGTCCTGTCCTCATACTCTTCTCATCTGTGGCCCATGACAGAAGGAAGAGATCCGAGCGAACACAGAAGAATCGCTCCGTCTGCACAACATGATCAGGACGTTGGAAGACGTGACAGACAAGCTTGCTGATATCATGGTTTGACGGAGCGTGCAGGACAAAGAATATCTCGACTCTCAGCTCAGCAACACGCGAGAGGCTCTATCACAGAAGGTTTTGTTCCTGCTCCTCCTCTCCTCGTCCTTGAAGCGGTTACTTGAAAGGAGCAAACTATCGATCGTCTTGAAGATGATCTCAAACAAGGTTCGTTGTTTCCTCAATCCTCCTCCACGACTTCTCCTTCTCCTTCTCCTTCTCCTTCTGCTCCTCTTGTCCATCTCGTCCTCTGTTCACAATCTTTCCCGTCCCTAACCTTGCTCGTCAACAGCTCGAGAGCACGCTGAGAAGGAGCGGGCGCAGGGTAGCGAGCACCTGAGACGGGTGAGAACGAGGAGGACCAGCTGGAGTTGTTGACCCTGCTGGACCGCAGCTGAAACAGATGGAGGAAGATTCTGTCTGGATCGCAAGATCGCATGAGACGGCCATGGCAGGAGTGAGAAATCCGCAGCTCCCAGCCACCTTCTCTTCCTCTTGAGAATCCTCGCACCTCCTTGTTTCTCTCTCTCCTTCTTGTCTTCCTCCTCTCTCTCCTTCCTCTCTCTCCCTCCTCTCTCTTCCTTCTGTCAGTCTGTCTGTCTGTCTGTCTGTCTGTCTGTCTGTCTGTCTGTCTGTCTGTCTGTCTCTTATATTCATCGCATCCTGTCTCTCTTTTCTTTCCTCCTCTCATTCAACTCGTTCACTCACTCTGTCTCTTCTCCAGCTCAAAGATCGTCTCAGCCAAGAGAGTGAGAGCGTACAGAGAATGAACACAGAAATCCTCGCCCTCAAGGAAGCTCTCAACAGTGAGAAAGTTCCCTCCCCTCCCTTTCTAAACCTTGATTTTTCTGTCGCTCTTTCCGGTCGTCTGCATTTTCCCCCTTCCTCGGCTACTCTGTCCTCCTCTTGTTCTACGTGCCTCCTCCTCCTCCCCCCCTTTCCTCCTCCTCCCCCTCCTCCTCTTCATCGTCCTTTCCTCCTTTTCCTTTGTTTTGCTTTTTCTCATTATCACCTCTCCCATGCTCTCTTTAACTTTCTCTCTTTCCTTGTTCCCCACCATCAACAGGCGCGAAGCGTCAGGAGGAGCTCAGGACTCTGCAGCATAATCACTACGTTGAGAAGATTGAGGCCGTGAGTTGCTGGCAGCAAAAAAAACCTTTCATACTTGACACCCGGTTCTCAGCTGGAGAAAGAGAAGAAACAAGAGTCGGAACAACACAAGAAGTCGATGCAGGAGATCCGCAAAGAGCTTCAAGGTTTGCGGACATGTTCTCAGCTCACTAGGGTCACTACGTTGCCACCTCAGACATCAAAGAAGAAACGTTCATCCTGCAGGGCCGTGAAGACGCGCTGAAGAAAGAAGTTCTCGTCCTCTCGAATCAGCTCGAGAAGGTTTGAACACTTTGTCTCCCTCCCCTACCTACTCTCCCTCCTCTCTCCTCTCCTTCTCCCTCCTGCCCTTTTTGTCTCTCACTTCTCTCCCTCTCCCCGTCTTCTCCTTTCATCCTTATCTTCATGCCTCTTTCAACCTGTGACGTACTCGCCCAACAGGAGCGATCGAGGTGTCAGAACATGGAGGATCTTCGATCGGCTGCAGTCTGCAAGGCTCAGGTTGGACGGAGAGTTTCTGATCCATCGAGGAAGGGAAGGGAAGGGAAGGGAAGGGAGGGGAAGGGAGGGGAAGGGAGGGGAGGAGCGATTGGAGGAAGACTGCAGTGACGTCACTGCCCTTCAGGCATGGGAGGAAGAATGTTCTCGTGCTGTAAAGGAGGAGCGGGTCTCTGCCGCCAAGTGCAAGGAGCTGATGCGGTGACATGCCCTCTCCTCCCCTCCTCTACCTTCCTTCCACCGCCGTCTCCTCCTGTTCATCCTCCATCCCCTCGCATCCCCTGCCCTCCCGCCCACCGCCCTTGAGATTTGTCTCCAGCTCCTCCTCTCTTCACCAGCTCCTCCTCTCCTCTCATTTGAGATCTGACCGTGACATCCACAGACAACTTGAGGCCCAGGGCGAAGAGCATCGGCGAGATGTTCTTGTTCTCTGCCTCCTCCTCCTGACCTCTCGGCAGTTCTGCCCTCCAAGATCTCCAGCACATGTACGACAAGGCAGTCGGCAACACCAAGTGAGACCTTCCGCTTTCCTCCTGTTCTGTTGCTTCTCAGAGGCTGCAGGAACGTGGAGGAGACATGGCAGAACACTCTCAAGCAGCTCCAGAAGGAGAGGGAATCCGAAAGGTCCTCCTCCTCCTTATCCTCCCCCCCCCCTTCCCCCCCCTCACTCTTTTCGTCCACACGTGCAATGACTCCTTCTCCCTCTTCTCTCATCTTCTCCCTGCCTCCTTTCCCTTCTCAGCTCCCGTGCACCCGTTGCCAACCATTGCCCTTCCCTCTCATGCAGTTTGAAATCTTCTCGCCCCTTTCCCTCTTCTTCTAGCCTACTGTCTCACCCTCCAATCAGGGAGTCCTGGGCCCGGGAGCGAGATTTGGACATGAAGGAGTAAGTCCCTCCCCTCCCTTCTCCTCCTCACTTGCAGCAAGATGGTCCTCGGAGCGGCGAGCATGGGAGGTCGAGCGGAGGCGTCTCATCGACAGGATGGAGGAGTACCATGGAGTCATTCAGAGCATGCGAGTGAGTCTGAATGCCATGTTCAACTGGTCGTTCCCGCTTCGCCCCTTCCTCCTTGTCCTCGTCTTCCTCTCCATGTATCCTCCCTCCTCCTGTCCTGTCCTGTCCTGTCCTGTCCTGTCCTCCTTTTTTTCGTCCTCGTCTATGCTCATCCTCACAGCTTCATAAGGAAGCTGAGATGGCTGCTGTTCTCAACCTCGACTACATGTGTCTGGGAGCCAACGAGTCAATGCGAGCAAGGTGATAAACATGATGCATCCTCCAGTAACTCTCCTCCTGCTACCTCTTCCTTCCTCCTCCTCCCTCCTCCTCCCTCCTCCTCTCCCTATCCCACTCCTTTCTCCTCCCTCTCCCTCTTTCCACCCATCCATCCCTGGACGCGGTATCGTCCCTTCACCATGGTTTCTTCCAGTCCTTCCAACGTCAGGTACGTCGAAGATTACACCGCGAGGGAGCGCGGAGCAGAAGTTTGGCAGAGCTCGACCTCTCCCACCCGCCAGCAGCAGCAGCAGCAGCAGCAGCAGCAGCAGCAGCAGCGTTCTCCTGCCCAGGTAAGAAGTACTCTACCTTCCTTGCCCTTCCTTCCTCCCTCCTGTTCCTCCTGTTCCTCTCTTCCCTTCTTCCTCGACCTTCTCACCCGCCAGCAGGAAGTGGTTGTGGACCGGGTGGAGCCGAACAAGGCTTGTCGTCGTCTCATTTCCGACGTGATCACCTTTAGTCCACCTCCTACCCAGCTGAGATGCCATGGCAGGAGTCGCTGCAGGAAGAGGAGAAGTCGGAGGTCTGGACCGAGAGGTCTTCCGAGCAACCTCGCCGGTCTGTTGCACCCCCTCCCACCCCCACCCCCACCGCCTCCTCCTCCTCCTCCTCCTCCTCCTCCTCCTCCTCCTCCTGCTAAGAATCTTTCAGGTGGGAGTAGAGCAGGCAGGAGACCGTTGGCTCCGTTCCTCCTCGCGTCCAGCAGGGCAGCATACATCACCTAGATGACATTTTTCCGGTTGTAGCTCGTTCATATTCTACACTCTTGTGCTCCTGCTTCACTCGCTCCTCCGTTGCCCTTCCCACCCGAGACAAGACAAGTTCCCTCCTGCTGCCTCACCACGAAAACGCAGCAGTCGTCCAAAGTTCCAACAGAAGGAGCGAGTTAGGACTCAATCAACCACACGATTCTCTTGACTTCTCCCTCCTAGTCTCTGCTCGTCTACTTCCTTGTCGTAACCCACATCTTTCTTGTTGCTTGCTATCTTTGTTGCAGTTCGTCTGCTGATGCCTCTGCGTGAGAACGAGGCTGTCCATTGCGAAGTTCTTGTTGTCAATTACCCCTCATCTTTCCTTGTCCATGCGCTTCTTTCTCGTCTCTCTTGCTTCTCACTCTCCCTGGTCCCTGTAAACCCCTCCTCCTCCTCCTCCTCCTCCTCCCCCTCCTCCTCCTCCTCCTCCCCCTCCTCCTGCCTCCTGCCTCCTCCTCCTCCCCCTCCTCCTGCCTCCTGCCTCCTCCTCTTCCCCCTCCTCCTGCCTCCTCCTCCTCCTCCTCCTCCTCCTCAAACTTCGCCTTGTTTGCGAAATTTCTGATCGACTGTTATGAACATCTTTTCCTTTTTTTCGGCTGTTTGGAGGTCAAATCTCCGATCAAGGGGGGGGAGGGGGTACTACCGTTGGCGTCTGGGTGGGTCCGGAAGGGGCTAATCACCACCCCTGGGATGTAGCAGTCGAAGATATACCGGGATAACATGGGGGTGGGTGGGTTGTCGGCATGGTAAAAATGCCATGTTGAGGGAGGGGACGTAGGAGAGAGAGGGGCGGAGGCTGCGGCAGCGAGTGTGTGACGGTCGAACAAGCTCCTCTTGTCAAGGAACAGTCACGTCCTCCGCTCTTAGATCCGTTGGTGATCAGCATCGTCAAGATGAAGAACATAGGACCATACGAGATTGGAAAGCAGGTAGGCAAAGGTGCAACCGGAACGGTCTATCTTGGTGTGGATTCTTCGACGAGGAAGCAGGTGCTGTAGCATGCAACGGATCTGCCTGCGGAGTTTCGTGACAGTCCAGCAGGTTGCAGTCAAAGTCATGAAGAACTCTGAGAACTCTAAGAGGTTACCTGAGTAGTTTCTGCTACATTCGTGAGAATGTGCTGACTTTCATCGTCATGTAGAGCGCTGAAGCACGAAGTGTACGTCATGACTCGATTGGCACATGAGAACATAACAGCGATACGCACCGTCCTCGAAGACGACAAGAACACCTACATCATCCTTGAATATGTCGGCAAGGGAGGTGAAATCTGTCTTTGAAAACCCGCAAGTTATGATGTGCTGTGCTTCTCTAGAGCTGTACGACACCGTTGTGAAGTGGAAAAAGAATCAGCGAGAGAGATTCACGTTCCACTACTTCAATCAGGTCCGAACTAGCGCTTTCTGATCATCACTCGAATCTCACTTGTACCATGTTTCCCTCTCCGCACCCAAAAGCTCATGAATGGCCTCAAGTATCTGCACGACTCGGGGTACTGCCATCGCGACCTCAAGCTTGAGAATCTTCTTCTGAGTAAGGACGGCGTCTTGAAGATCGCCGACTTCGGCGTCTCCAAGGACCTAAATGCGAACCCGATGCATACCTGCTGTGGTTCGCCTGACTACATCGCTCCTGAAGTCATCACCGGTGAGCCGAGCTCGAGCGGTTGCCAGCGGGTGACGTGTAGTCTCAGACAAGCAAGGATACGATGGTAGACTAGCTGACCTGTGGTCCTGTGGCGTCATCCTGTACGCCATGCTCTGCGGAGAATTTCCGTTCGAGGATACACCACACATCTTGAGGGGTCAGTATAAGGCTCCAAAGTGGATACCCAAGCTTGCCAAGGACTCGGTCATCGACCGAATTCTTGTTGTGAATCCTTCGGATCGTTTGCAGGTTGAGCGATGAACGATGTTGATTCAACACCTCAGTTGACTCGTTGTCTCAGAGCGTCGATGCAGTCATGGACACTGAGTGGTTCTTGTCGTTCAAGACGCAGCGAAACACGTTTGGGATGTTCTATGAGGTACTCGAACGCCTCCCCGAGCTTGCTAACATGTCATGCAGATGAAGAGGAAACGAAGAAGCACGCCTTTCCAGGTCTTTCGCTTCGTCTCGTTGAGGGTCATCATCTGCATCAAGGTTTGCCGAGCCTTGTCTTCAGCGAGCATCAAAGGAGAGCCGAGGGACATTCGAGAGGTTGTACGCGATCGCCTCATCACAGTCTGCTGCCTCCTGCGAGACGTCATCGACAAGGTCAGGCCCGACGATGGCTTCCAGGACATCAACTGGGCGGCTTTCCGGAACAGCGCGTCGTACGAGCGACATCTCAACCTGCTGGGAGAGATCCAACGATCTGACCTGAAGCGTCTGTCAGACAGGGAGAAGCTTGCAGTCTTTCTCAACCTCTATCACCTAATCCTGATCCACTCATACGCGTCCGGGGGCCATCACATCTCGAAGATGAGTGATAAGGAGAGGCAAGTGTTCTTCCACAACTCTTGCTTCGTGGTCGGGTACACCGTCTTCTCCCTTGACGACATCTTTCATGGCATTTTCCGTGCGAACGCCAGGGGAGGCGGCTGGTTTTCAAAGCAGCAGATCGATGAGAAGCTGGACCCTGACAAGTCTGCGCTGGTCCTTAAGAGTTTGAACCCGCTGTGTCACCTGTGCGTCAGCCATCTGACTCATGGGACGGCCAAGATGCACATCTACTCCGTCGAGAACATCGAGGAGCAGATGAAGGATTGCGCGATGGAGTTGCTCGACAGGCAAGTGGAGATCGACCTGCCATCGAAGACGCTCCTCCTCCCGCACTGCTTCATGGAGTTCAAGACAGACTTCGGGAAGACCTCTGCAGACAGCCTTCAGTTCATCAAACAATACCTCAGAGGACAGAAGCTCGCGGATTTCGTGGAGGTTTGTAGCCGAGGGACACCCAACTTCAAGTTTCTGCCCAAGAACTACGGTGCTTGTTGAGACGCCCCCCTCCTGTTGTGACCTCTGACAGGATTTCTTTGGGCGCAACCTCCGGAGTTGGAGCACTGGGAGAGAAAGAGGAGCGAGCGGCACAACTGGACGGCCGAGAGGAGGATGGAATGGAGAAAGCTGCACCCGGACCCGTTCCAGGTAGCCGCATGCGGGACGAGGGTGCTGGAGAGGATGTTGACCTGCAGCTGGCCAGCTCGACAAGATTTCCGTTCGCCCGTCGCACAACCAGCGGAGGATGAAGTCAGACCATCTCTTGGATTCTGCCTTGAGCCAAGGTAGCCCATGGCTGTCAAGGCGCGGCTCGTTGACTTGGTCACAGGATGGTCGCTGCAGGCTCTCAATGAAACATTGAAGGGAGCTCTGTCTATCGTCGACAGCGTGACGTCAGAGGAGAAGCCAACGCCCTCGACCCTTGAAACTCAACGGAGCCCTCCCCTCCTCAGCTTGCACCCTGAGTGGGGACCTGGCGAAGTCGCAGAGGTGGAGGATGGCAGAGACGAGCAGCTGCCAGCGGATCAGCGGGAGACAGACGAGAAAAGCTTGAAGAAGAAGAAGAAGAAGAAGAAGAAGGGGGACGAAACGTCGGAGACGAAAGAAGGAGCGACCAAGACAAAGCAGAAAAAAGGTGTCGCCAAGAAGTCGAAGAAAAATGAAGAGGCTGCTGAAGGATCTGAGAGACAAGAAATTGTCCATCAAGAACCCGAGAAGAAGGAAGATGTGAACAAGAAGAAGGAAGTTATGAACAAGAGCTCAGGGCATACAGAAGAAGTTCTAGACAAATCAGAGGAAGAAGAGAAGGTTTTCAACTGATTTCATCAACTGAAGATCTGACTGTCGAGTGTGCAGCAACAAAAGGACAAACCAACCAAGAAGAAGGATCTGAAAGTAGAGACGGAGATTCTTTCACCGGAGGAGGCGGACCGCAAACGTAAAAAGGACGCTCTTCACAGGAAGGTGCCGTCCATCTTCGTTCCTCTGCTCAACCTCTGATGTTCTGCCAGTTTCCCAGCACGCGTGCTGACGTAGGATCTCCGAGGACTTACCAGCACCTCGACCTCGCTCTCCAGCAAGCCCTTGACGCTGTCAGCGACGAGCTCTTGAGCAATGAGGAAGCAGAGCCTGACTGGATGGAGGAAGAGCAGATGCCGGGTGAGTCCAGTCATGACGCCCCTGGACACAAGGTGGAAGAGCCAGCAGCGGCACGTGAGGGGCAGGAGGAGGAGAAGCAGGAGAAGAAGCCCGTCGTCAAGAAGAAGAAGAAGAAGGGACTTGTAGGATCGGAGGCTGACGCTGATCTTCTCCCTAAGGTCTCTTGCAATCGTTGACGTCATTTGGCTGAACCTTGACAGGCCAAGAAGAAGGCCAAGGCTAAAGTATCCGGGGAACTTGGGCAGGTTGAGCTCCGATGGCGCGGGCCCGTTGCCTCTCCTTGCTGACGTACCTCAGGCTGTTATCCCTCCGCCTTCCAGCGCTGACAACGAGACGCCCAAGGCCAAGGTGAAGAAGGTGAAGAAGAAGCAGGTTGCGCCCGTAGATGCTCCGAGGTCGTTCTCCTCTCCCGTGGGAGATTCGCTGACTTGAAGGTCTCATAGTGACGTGCCTGTTCCCGTTCACACTCAAGGAGGAGAAACCAAAGGAGACGCTGAAGGTCCTGAAGGCAACCAAGAGTCAAGCGCTAGCAGAGAGGCTCCCGAGACGTCTGGGGCTGATCGGCAACATTCTGCATGGGAGGAGGACGGCGAGAAGGAGATCTCAGGGCGAGAGGAAGGCCGAAGCCAAAGCTTTGAAGAGATGTCCGCAACTTTAGGACAGGACCCGGGAAGTATAAGTGAAAAAAGACGGTGAGGAGGAGGAGGAGGAGGAGGAGGAGGAGGAGGAGGAGGAGGAGGAGGAGTACACTCAGTGCATGAATCGGCTGATACTTGATCAAACAGATCTCTGCTGTCGGGGCTGCACGTGGGAGCGACAAAGAAGCTTCAAGAGAAAGCTCAGCCGCTTATTCTCGTGAGGTACTCAGAGAAGAAGGCACGGCAACAAGGCAGATTCTGCTGTATCACTTGAGAGAGCTTTACTTTACACCCTGGCCTTCTTCTTGTTGGATGTTGTACATGTATACACAAATGGCTCTAATCCTCCCAGAGCCTGCTTGAAACTCAACCTGAGCAGCGACGTTAAGGGGAATGCCGTTAAAGATTGATAATAGAATGTAGATACGTTTTGAACCCCAGGTCGTGAAAGAGTCCACTGACGACGTCGCAGGACAGGTCCAGATCTTCGTACATTTCGTCTTTGAGCTTCGACATGACAAGGTCCATGTCGTCCCCAGCACTTAGAGTCTCAAGTCACCCAGGAGGAGAGGAGGAGGAGGAAGCGGAGACGTACAAGGCATCCTCCGCACCTCCTTGGCGTCGAGATGCAAGGAACATGACTAGTCTGTGCAATGAGTAGAAGCGGAAGAAGAAGTCGTCTGGATTGACGACTGTGAACCCTGAGATTCCCATGTCAAGGGGGACGACCTGGAGAAGGGACTGGAGGGAGCGACATTGCGGGAGAGGAGAGACGGGAAAGAAAGTACATACATTGCGGGAGAGGAGAGACGGGAAAGAAAGTACATACATTGCGGGCGAGGAGAGACGGGAAAGAAAGTACATACATTGCGGGAGAGCAGAGACAGGAAAGAAAGTACACGGGAGAGGACACAAAGGAAAAGGCAAACTATCGGAGAAGGGATGGTACCCGTCCACCCGAAGAAACTCTTGCTCTTGTCCCATGAAAGCTGTTGAAACTCGTGTTCGGTCCCAGGGCCTGAGACGATCTCTTGGTGAAGGAGGGAGTTCTGAACTCCGAGGGAGGTGGGGGGATGTTGAGTCAGCACAGGAGGTCCCCGAAACTCGATCACCTGTAGAGACAGGAGGACGCAGAGCTTCTTGCTCTTCGCACAGACTTTCGCCGTCTTCAGCTTCCATCGCATCTTCAACGTTGGCAGCTCATGCTCAATCATGTACCTGCTTCCTAAGAGTCTCCTCCAAGACCGTCTCCCCGACTGGTTTGAACTTCTCGTACAAGCACTCCGACGTTCTCCTCCAGCAGTCCTGCACGTCCAATCAACCCCATTCTGCAGTAGCCTTGCGGTTCTTGTCTACCTGCACCGGCCGGACAACCTGGTTCATCTTTTCTCTGTTTTCAGGTGACTTCATGTGTTTGCCCCGGTTGTCACTCCTGGCATCTTGTGCACATGAAACTTCACCAGCACACAGTTACGTGCACACAAACGTCACCTCTTGCCTCGGCAAAACATGCAGGGAACTTCTTCGCCAGGAGCATCAAGTACTTTCTGGCGAGCGTCTCGACAAACTGCCGCTCTTGTCCATCGTCAACCTCGGCCGGTCGTTGTGCACTACCCTTCGAGATCTGTCCTATCTCTTCCACACCAGCCTTTGGCTCGACATCCTTGTTCAGGATCTGATGCAGCTCCTGTTCACGTGCTCCCATACCTTGCCCATTGTGTCCAGCTGTCTGTTGTCTCGATGCTTGCAGCCTTTGCTTCGCTTGCCCACGTTCCTCCTCCTCCTCCTCCTCCTCCTCCTCCTCCTCCTCCTCCTCCTCCTCCTCCTCCTCCTCCTCATTCGGGATCCTCCTCCTCCTCCTCCTCCTCATTCCCGGTCTCTTCTCCTCTTCAGTCTCTTCGGCATCGTCCGCGCTCTCCTCGCTCTCCTGCATCCTCTCCCTGCCATCCTCCTCCGCCTTTGGCCGCCTTCCCATTGACCGTGCTGACAAAAGATCAGGACAAACTGTCCGAGCTCACACTTGGGGGTGGGGTTGTCAGCAGGGCAGCAGTAGTCTCAACAGGTAGGGGTGGTGGGGTGGGGCAATCTGTTGAATACCACCCTACCCGTTCTTAAGGAAGATTTTTGCTGTTCCCTACTTTTGTAGTAAGAGTGGGGGGTTATTTATCTCGGGGGTAGTTGCAAATATTGTACAATGTCAGGGTAGGGTACTCAATAAATTTGTTGTGTGAGGGTTGAAGAGGGTAGGGTAGGGGTGAGGGGCGGTGGCAGCCCTTCATGGAGGGGAGAGCGTAGGATGGGCGGAAAGAGAGGAAGAGCGAGAGGAGGAGAGGAGATGATAGAAGATGAGAAGAAGAGCGGAAGAAGAGAAGATGGCAGGAGGGGATGATAGGAGGAGCGGATAGGGGAGGCGATGAGAGGAGGTGAGAAGATAAAATAAGATGATACGAAAGGTAATGAGAGCAGCAGGGGAGGGAAGGGGAGGGGAGGGAAGGGCCGAAACAGTACGGCACGGGCCGAGATAGGAACACACGAGCCAAGCTGGCAGGAAGGAAGTGCAGGGAAGGGAGGCGCTGGTTGAGGAGTGGAAAGTAAAGGGAGAGATTTCAGAGTTGCTGAGAAAGTTTTGATGAGATGAGTTGTCAGCGGAAAACAGGCAGGGAGAGGAGAGTGACAAGGAATGAAGGGGTAACAGTAGAGCGCAAGTTCGTTGAAGGCCACCCCCAATCTTGTTCCGAATTGATATATGTCGTGTCATTCGAGACTTGCAGCATGCCAAAGGGCGGAAGGAGAAGAGTGGAGGGGGGCCGGGGGCTGGGGGGCGGAGAAGCAGAGATTGTCTTGATAAAGAGAGGATGCAGTGAGAGCAGAGATAAAGGGGGAGGAGAGAAATGATGATCAGAAGGTGGCAGCAGAGTAGACAAAAGTTGAGGAGAGGGCATTGAGTTCCAAAGGAAGGGAAAGTTTTGGTGGACGGGTTGTTCCTGATCGTCTGAGCATGTCGCAGGCACATTGTTCTCATACTTGTGCATGTCCTACCCTCGCAAGCGGCAGCGAAGTGAATCGCCTGACGCGCAATGCTCTACCCCGGTGGGCTCCATTCCATCAGCCTCCCTGTTGGCTCCTCGTGTGATGGCTGCCGTGCAGGTGCATGGAAGCGGAGAAGCCGTTCTCGATCCCTTGTTTCACAGCCACAGGAGCAAAGAGCTCGTGTCCCTGTGGGAGAGTCGGTGCGCTGTTTGCTGTGCAGCCGCTGAGGAGGTTGTGACCGGATGCTTTGCAGTGAGCTGTGCGATGTGGATGTTGTGGTGGAAGGAACAAGATTCCAGGCGCACCGCGTTGTGCTGGCTGCCGGCAGTCCGCACTTCCGCGCGATGTTTACCAAGAATTTCAGTGAGAGCAAAGCGAGAGAAGTCGAACTCCACGAGATCACAGCCGAAGGGTTTCAGGTGCGAGGCGTCCATGAAGTGCCGCAGTGGTAGTAAAGACTGTGCAGGGAGTCCTTAGCTTCCTCTACTCAGGGGAAGTTTCTTTGCGGGACTCCACAGCCGTAAGTGTTGGACTGAGCTGAGTGAGCGTTGACAAGGCCGCAGGAGCTGGTTCTGCTCGCAGCGGACAGATGCGAAGTAAGTCGTTCGATGGTGATCGAGGTCCAACTGATCACGATCTTGCTATAGGTGCTCGGGCTAGTGAACCTATGCTGTTCTTTCCTGCTGGATAGAATCACGTGGCGCAATTGTTTGCACTATTGGTCGTTAGCAGAACAAGTGAGGCCCTCTGCGTGTGGACACGATCATGTCTGAGGCGCCTGCAGGTCGTGTGTTTGAAACTGAAACGGAAGGCAAGGTTGGTTGCGCTGAAGCATTTCGAGGTTGGAGCCCTGCGTACTGATTGATAGGTCGTCTTGACCCTCTTCCTCCAGGAGCTCTACCACACTGGACTTCTGCTGGACCTCGACGCCGCGAAGATGTCTAGGATCATCAAGAGCAAGAAACTACGTGCCTCAAACGAGCAGGTCTCTACTTTCAGCTGGGGTTTGCGGTGACTGAAAAATTTTCCTTGTTGTGCAGGTGGTTTTGGAAGGCTTGGTCACATGGTTGCAGCACGACTTTGAGTCCAGAAGGCATGTGGCGGAGAGCATGTTGAGGTGCGAGGAGAAGAAGCACGAGGAGGAGGAGAAAAAGTGAGGTAATGTTTTGTTGCAGGCTTGTTCGACTGCCGAGACTAGCTGAAAACACTCTACGACAACTTTTGAACACTACGTTCTTAAGAGACTGTTCGACTCTAGACGTGTTGATTGCGGACGTACAGAAGTAAGTTGACAGCGTCTTGACGCAGCGATGTCTCAAACATTGAGTCTGATGGCCTTGCAGATACCAGACGATGACAGAGGAGGACCAGCGAAATTACTCGGAGGTTTGGGCCAGGAAGCGATGGAACGAGTGCGGATGGTTGTATGCTGTAGGAGGTTCAGACGGGCTGTATCATCTCGATAGCGTCGAGCGCTACGAGGCTGTGGAGGATGTGTGGTACCCGGTGAAGCCTGTCATGCCTGCTGTCTCCTGCTGTCTTGTCTTTCATCTTGTGTTACATCTCTTGCTCTTGGCCCTGCACGTGTCTTTGTTCCTCCTCCTCCTTTCTCACTGTCCTCAGGTGGCCCCGATGCGCACGGCAAGGAGGAACTGCGGGGTTGGAGTTCTCAACGGCCACTTGTATGCGGTGGGCGGAAGAAATGAGAACAAGCAAGTTATGGATAACATCGAGAGATATGACTCCAAGGAGGACCGGTGGGAGCGAGTCGAGCACCCGATGCAGACTGCGAGGTCCCTAGAGATCCTTCGAGTCCCTTCAAGGTTCTGATGCAGGGGCTTGCAGGTACTTCCTTGCAGTGGGAGTGATCAAGAACAAGTTGTACATAGTCGGGGGGGTGACAAGAGAAACTCGAGCTTGCAAACGGCCGAGTGTTACGATGCAGAGAGCGGGAAATGGTCGCCAGTCGCCTCTATGAGCGAGAGAAGGTGAGGCATGGTGGAGGAACTGTGTTGCTTGCTTACACGCCCATTCTCTGTCCTCCTCTATCCTCCTCTCTCCTTGACCTTGCACGTTACCTCCTTCTTTCATTCCCCCTCTCCTCGCAGGTATGGATGTGGTGCTGGGGTGCTGGATGGGAAGCTCTACGTTGTCGGGGGAACAGTCGAGAAGAACGGAGACTACTTGGAGACAGTAGAGAGTGAGTAGTGGAAGAGAGGGAGGGGGGGAGCAAGTGAGGGAGGGAAGGAGGGAGGGAGGACGAGGAGGAGAGGTGTTGATTTCCTACTCAGGATACGACAGCGAGACGGACAAGTGGGAGAGTGTGGCTCCTATGAGCACGTCTCGCTACTGCTGCGGGGTTGCTGTGATGAAGGGGAAGCTGTACGCGGTGGGAGGAGTCGACAAGAGGTGAAGAGTCAAGATGAGAGGAGGAGGAGGAGAGAGGAATGGATGAGATAGAGGAGATGGCGGGATGAGGAGGAATGTAGAGGAGGTTCGATTTACATTTTAGATTTTGAGATCTGGGGATCAGCGTTGATTGTCAAAGCTGCATGTGCTACTCTTCCGATTTTGGTTGCTGACTTCCTTCTACAGATACAACAAACTCTCCAGTGTCGAGAGTTTCGACCCAACGACTGGAGCTTGGTCGCCGGAGCCACCGATGTTAACAGCTCGATACAACTGCGGGGTGGAGGTGAGAAGGAGGAGGAGGAGGAGGAGGAGGAGGAAATGCTGGAATTCCTTATATCGGATCTCACGGAGGATGTTTGAACAGGAGGCGGCAGGCAACCTCTATGTGGTGGGAGGAAGAGACGAGAAGAATCGAGCTCTGTGCACTGTAGAATGTTTCGACGGGCAGACGCATCAGTGAGAGAGAAGGGGGAAAGGGAGGAGAAGGGGGAGGGAAGGGGAAGGAGGGGGAGGGCAAGGGGCGAGGAGAACGGGAAGGCAGAGGTGCTGATGACGTGGCAGGTGGAGGACAGTCTCTCAGATGAGTACGGTGAGGTCGTCCGGCGCTGTTGCCGTGCTGCCGCCGATGAGATGAAGCAAGAGGCTGGTGGACGACAGCTGGGGAAGTCAGGGAGAGGGAGAGGGAGTGAGAGAGGGGAGGAGGAGGAGGAGGAGGAGCTTGTTTGCTGTGAGAGTAGTGTAAGATTGTACGATGGTGTGGGAGAGGAGGGAGTATGTTGTGAATATCAAGTAAAACAGAGGGCAAGGAAGGTGCGGGGATCTCACGAGGGCGATGAGCGAGTCGGGTAACCTACATGCTCTTCATTGGCAGCTAGAAGTACAAGTGAAGCCCAGCTCTCTTCGAGCTCGTCAGAAGCTTCAACGACTCGCGCCCTGCGAGGGGTGTCAAGCAGCACATGGTATCAATCACATCCTCCTGCTCCTGCTCCTGCTCCTGCTCCTGCTCCTGCTCCTGCTCCTCCTCCATCACCACCACCACCTTCCTTCCTCTTTTCTTTCCCCTTCCCTCTTCTCTCAATACTTTCTCATCCCCTTGCTCTCCATTCCCTTCCCCTTCTCCTCCTTCATCCCTCCCCGCGAGCATCCTCTTTGCTCCTTCGCTCTCCTCCAACTCCTCTTCTGATTCTCCTCGGTTCTGCTCCTCTGAACCTCACCGATGGGACACTCCGTGATACGCAGAACCCTTGAGAGACTCGTTATGAGAAAGAGCGACCTGCTCGAAAGTGA